ATACAGACAAATAATAAGGCTGGCGACTGCTAGCAGATGTATATGTTATACAGTTGCTATACAGAAACGCCGAAAGCTACTATTGCAAGCTACCAGCGTTAAGGAATGTTGTACTATACCAGCACAAGTGCACAACATTAGCATATATAGTCATATAATAGTTTTGTTTGTGGAAACACCACGTAAATTTATTACTGCAGTAATAAATTTACGTGGTGTTTCCACAAACAAAACTATTATATGTTTTATCGCCATGCAAACATACAAAGAACTTATTAGCATAGTCCTTCCAACATCAACCTGCCTTGTAATGCAAGTATCATTTATTTGTACTATGGTGTTAGTGTTGAGTAGAGTGCCCAAATTAAATCTTCCTCCGCAATAACCTAACATATATGGTAAACCTTCCACCCTGGTGGTACGTACATAACAGCAGCATTTTGAAATTCTGTTTCATTATAGAATACATCTTTTTGTAATTTCGAATGCGTAATTTCTTGAAAATACGACTATTTTGATATTTTATTATTTGCAAACCGTCGTTTGTATATCTTTGATGGAATTCGATCAACCGCGCGCATGCTTTAGTATATATATTAGAATGTCTGACCAAAAAGATGTAGTTGGGTTTATCGGTAAGATTTGAACAAATTTAACCATTTTAAAAAAGAATTTAAAGTCTATACCTTGATAATTCTGAGTCCTGATGTGAGTTTAAAGAACCAGCGATATCTTGATGAATTTCTACTGTGGGAAATCGAAAACTACTATATTTGAGTAAATTCTAAGAAAAACTCGAATATTAATTGGAAGTAAGGGTGATTTTTCCAGGAAAATCTTTCATTTTACATATCATGTTGTGATATTGTTCACTCGGTAATATGATAGGTAGAAATGTTCTCGGGTGCATGAATCCAAATCGCGCATGCAGAAAATTCTGCCTGCATGGCATGCATGCCATAATAATATTTCTTAACTTTTACTGGATATATCGGTTGGGTTTTAAAAAAATATTTCAATGTTGAGCTTTCAGTGTGAAATTAGTTTCAAAAACGTAAACTGTAAAAACAGATTGATTAAAATAACCAATTTGAATTGGATCAATGTTTGTAAACCGCTTCAAAAACTCATTAATAATTCATGAAGCAATAATCCAATCTTGAGTAAGAAATTAGTCACGTGCACGAGTCTTTATACCAGCTAAAGAATACTTTATTATGCAATAATACAAAAGACGGTTGTTATGCAAACTATATAAAGATTTTTATATAAAGATTTTTATATAAAGATTTTTATATAAAGATTTTTCATATCTGAAATGCTTATTATGCAAACGTTTTTGAAGCCATTTAAAAAACTCGCAGGTCGTGTTTTATTATAAGTCTAAAGCCACTCGCGCTGCGCGCTCGTGGTTTTAAACCTAATAAAACACTCCTGCTCGTTTTTTAAATAGTACATAAAGATTTGTCCTGATTTACATAAACTTCAGCTTTGATTTTCTCGGCTTATAGACAATGTTTATTTTAAAAATTACTTCGCTCATAAGATGGGTCGTTTTTTAAGCACGTTAATTAATAAAACATTCGCATCCGATCTTTATCTTATATATCGGCTGCTCATGTTTTATCTAGTACTTAATAAACTATCCAAAAATTGGGTTATTTTAATTAATTGATCAAATAATTTTGGTCAAAAGAAAATTCATCTGAGAACCAAATTGTTTTTTTAATAAACAAATCCATTTTTACATTGTAGGTTAAGAATTACTGAAACAATCTGTGCCATGCATGTCGTAGTTTTACTTGTATAGTTGAGGTAGTTGAATGCATGCATATTTATCTACATTTCTCTATAACAAGTAGTTTATACGAAGGCATTATATGCAGTCACTAATTTCCGGCAGTGCTATGTTCGCTATGATTAATTCCGCAGCTTTAGTACAGCCCAAAGAACTACAACAAGTGCATGGTCTTTCGGAATAAACAAATCTTCAAGAAACGCTTTATCATGCATAAAAAGTAATTGTTTATCATAATGAGTGAAAAACAAGTTCAGAAAAACCCGCGGACAAACACCAGCACTGATTTAAACTGACAGTTTTGTTTTTCTGAACTATTTATGAGGGATTTGAACTAAACACAGAATAATTTTATGGACTGCAGTTCCACCAATCTTCCTTTTTCATTTTATTTTTAGCTTTACTAGTAGGGTATTTACCACTTTTATTCAAATCCCACGCGCTCCTTTTCAGTATATTGAAATTGCCGATCGTCGTGTATCGTTGGGTACGCCGACAATTTGCGGATATAGCTATACAACTTAAAAAAACGTCGAGAAATATCAGTTTGGTTTGCGAGGGCTGTCATACCGCTCGCTATTCAGTATTGGAGTGGCCGCGCAGATAACCAACTTCGAGTCAAATATTTAAAAGGCGTCGCCATGTAAAATTATATTGGTGTGATAATTTGGACGGTCCTAAAAAAAGCTGGTTATATACATTGCGCGATCGAAACTTTATCTACCGTTTGTCCAGATCGAGTCAGTGATAATCATACACATGCGTCTACGAAGTGAAACCTCGGCGTTTCTCGAACGACATCGTGCGCAATGCTGTAAAAGTGGAAAAAGATCGGCGCTGTTAATCGCGGGGAAAAGCGAATGTCTCGGTTGGTGTGTCTCACACTAAAAAACGAACAGTAGTGAACACATATATTCAGTTATAAGTCCAGCTGGCCACAGCCATTTAGCGAAGTATATTCCGAAGAGGAGTACCTGGCACTAACATGATCAGTTAATTGGCCAGAAACGTCGCGAAGGCATCGACATTTTCCTATGGCAATTTTGACCAACTTCTAAAAATTCTTCCCAAAAATGTTGTCGACGGGGGCATGAAAAAATTTTTCCCGACTAACATTACAGTCGATTTCAACTTACTTTTCACTCAAATGTTCCGAACTTCGTTCCGAACTTCGCAAATTCGTTGCCAAGTTCAAAAGTTCATAATGAAATTCACAAACAGGTTTGTAAACAAAGCCTCTGATTGGCTATTAAATCAAACCAGCCAATCAAATGCCCAGTTTACAAACCTGTTTGTGAATTTCATTATGAACTTTTGAACTTGGCAACGAATTTGAACGGCCATTATCTCAGTCAAACAATGACAACAGGCAACAGGGGCACCACTCAAAAATATACCTAAGGACCCCTTCTTCCTCCGGTACGCCACTGGTAATATTATCAAGTTTATAGTAGTTTCATTATCATAATTACCATAAGAATACTTTCATTAATTAATTAATCAAACCATAATTAGAAAAATTACGACATTTTGATTTCAGTCAACAATTTGGTTTATTAGAAATATTCTACAACGAAATAGACATAGTTTATATATGAAGAGATATTAGGATGTTAGGGTTTGTAATCCAAGTGAGAATATATACATTTTAAGACCTAACCAGGAACGACTGCGAAAAATGCAGCACAAGGTCCTCTGGTAGGTTCAATTCCTACCAGAGGACCTTGTGCTGCATTTTTCGCAGTCGTTCCTGGTTAGGCCTTAAAATGTATATATTCTCACTTGGATTACAAACCCTAACATCCTAATATTAATTACATGCACCAAGTGAAGTGCAGCACTAAGTTATTCAAGTCCACCTTATCACAACCCGTACACCCGATTACCTATATATACATGAACTTACAGTTACAGCTCAACAGCTGGCCTCTGTAGCTCAGTTGGTTAGAGCGCTGCTCCGGAATCACAGGGCCGTATAGGTTCGATTCCTACCAGAGGAACTTGTGCTGCATTTTTCGCAGTCGTTCCTGGTTAGGTCTTAAAATGTATATATTCTCACTTGGATTACAAACCCTAACATCCTAATATTAATTCCACCAAGTGAAGTGCAGCACTAAGTTATTCAAGTCCAACGTTATCGCAACCCGCACACCCGATTACCTATATATACATGAACTTACGGTTACAGCTCAACAGCTTTATGAAGAGAATATATACGATAGAATGTATTTTCTATAACGAAAGTACATGATAAAAATAAGATATACTTGTTTGAACTTCAAAAAGCATTTTAGCCCTGGTATATTAATCTTTATCAAAATATTAGGAATATATATTGAAATATTATTTTATACATGGGTATAGGCGGTATAAATTTTTTTATAAATATATAAATATATAAATATATAATTTTTCTAAAACATATTGTAAAATAGTCAATCTAAAAAGAAATCAATGTTTAATAAAAATCTATCTATCTGTTTATTTATCTGTTGTCTGTCCTCGTGACTATATTGTTGGAAATACGACCACTGTTTTAATTGTCTGTGTTTATATAGACCCTTGCGTTTCGCCAGCCATATACAACATTATCGTTCGTATTTTATTACAGTCAGTTAATTCACAGAACACTTTATAACCACTCGACTTGTGTTTGGCCCCTCAAATGTAGTTGGTTTCATTGTCATTAAATACACTGATGTAACTAAAAGAATGCAAAATATTTTGTAACTTGGTCAAATCCTAAAATGGGTGTGTAAATGACCATGGAAGTCCTGATTTTATTCTTTAAGAAAGTGAAAACAATCCTAGAGTAAAATTGTAAGAAAAACTGAAATATTAGTCCGAAGAAAAAACGATCTTCCAGGAAAATTGTACATTTTACATATCCTATGAAAACATACCCGAAATAATCCAATTATTTGGTGTTTGCAAATAAGATATACTGGCTCATACACGAATTACTTGTTTCTAAAAGGGCCGGACAAACCTCTTAAAAATTTCCAAATAAAAAGTTGCGGTGATAGGGCCTGGTACCTGTTCGACATCGTTTCCAGTACTTGTTGTGACACGACGCGCTATCATGTGACTTTCTTTAGAATCATTATTGGATAATCTACCCGCTTTCATTTTTGCCTTGACGCATGCACCGCCACCACTCCCTTCTTGTTCAATAGATTGTTTACAACTTACAGCAGCGAAGATGTATTTGCTCTCTTGCGTATCTTTTCTGGCAACCCTGTTCGGCTTCCTTTCGGTCGCTTCTGGTTGTACGTTGCTGGGAACACAGTCAAGAACTTTTCCAATATGTCTACTTCATAATCATACACATATCGAAATTGACGGTCTTCGCGTTCCATTGGGTACGGAAAATAATATACGCATACAACTCGAAGAGCCGTCGAGAGTGACCGAAGTTTCTTGCGGGGGACATATTCATTCGATTCCTTGGCCGCAATTAACGAAAGATGCTAACCAAGTCCGCGTCCGCTATGTAGAAGGCATCGCCACTCTACGTGTATATTGGTGTGATAGTTTCGAAGGTCCTGAAAAGGCTGGTATACGCTGCGCGATCGAAGCCTTCTCTAGCGCTTGCCCAGGTCGAGTTGGTGTTGATAATCATACGTGCGTTTACGAAGTACAAACTGACCGTTTTTCGAGCAACACCGTGCGCAAAGCGGTGCAAGTGAAGACAGAGGTTGCAGTAGCCGTACTGGATAAAGCAAAAGTCGCGGTTGGTGTTTCTCACACTAAAGAAAACACGGTTGTGAACACGTATTCGGTTGAAAGTCGCTCTTATATTGTTATCCCAGCTGGCTACAGCTTTTGCTCATTCAGCAAAGTGCATTCAGTCGAAAAACGTTTGTCAACAAATGGCTTTGAATGGAAATGTAATCTTCCTACGTTTAAACAGACAACCACAATCAGTGGACGTTGTTCAAAGCTGTCGCTTTGTGAAACCCAAACGCCATGCCAAGATTCACATAAGCAATTGCCTGACAGTGGACCGGAAAATAAATCTGCAGTCGCTCAACCGGTAGCTATGCTATTAATCGGCGTCCTCTGCATGATCGTGAGTGTCATAAGTAGTAATGTAGGTTACAATGAGTGAAGCTGGCAACAAAATGCACTTTCATAAGAATAACCATGATTATAACATATAATTAAAATTTTGATTTTTGTCTTTGATTCTATTATAAATTAGATTCTATAACGAACAGACTAGTAATGATTTTTTTCAAAAACTTGACGATATAGAAAAACAGTGCATGCGTATAGAATGGCCAAAAGGGATGGGCGACAAGAAGGTTTTCAAAATCGAGTTAAAAATTTATACTAAGAGTTCCCTTTGGTTTAGGGTCAATGTTAATGTTAGGATTGAGGTTCGATTTAGGAGCGAGGGTATAATTTAGAGTAAGATTCACGATGATAAGTGCATAATTGTTGATTCTTTCCCGTTTTAACGATCTTGAACCAAAAATAGCCGCCATCTTGAAAACCATTCCCTTTGGCAACAACCATGCATTGTTATTATATATAAGCCGTGATTTAAATTTTTAGTACTTGACTTTGCCATTATTGATATATATATCGGTAATCAAAAGTTAATTCTGTCATTGTTATACTTAATTAAGTCTTTTCCAAAACATATTATTGTAAAATATTTAATAATTCATGAAGAAAATTAAAAATAAATTACACAAGTATTCGTGTTGAGTACAGTCGGTTAATTGTTATATAAAAGGGATTTTGCTCTACCTCCTAATTTAAGGAAACGTTCTTTTCGGCGTACTTCTTCAGAGCTGCCAACTTCAGATGATTAACATGCACTGTGTATATTATCCAAGCACCGAGGCCATTATAAACAGAATGGGGGAAGTATGATCATCATGTAATTCACTGACATGCTTCATCCAAAAAAATGTCTTTTCTATGGTCTTTAAAATCTTATTTCCTGCACTAGAAAAACGACAACAGCCATAGGCGTACCGGGCGGGGGGGCGGGGGGGGCGGGGGGGGCGGTAGCCCCCCCAGTTTTTTGGGCAGTCGGGCAATATTCGATGAACAGTCGGGCAATTTCGGTTTGCAATAAAAAAAAATGGGACAAATTCTGTCAATTTTGTCTAAAATTAAGTCAATTTTTGGCAAAATTTGGCGAAAATTTGTGTTATGTTCCGAAAAATATTGGTTGTCCGGAAAAATTTTTTGACCCCTAAAATGGTACACTGACCGAAATTTTTTTTTTTTGGCGGAGGGGGGGGGGTGGGGGGGGGGTGGAGATCGCCAATTTTTAATTTTTCCGGGAAAAATTTTTTGGTACTAGTCGGGCAGAATCCAGAAAAGTCGGACAATTTTCTTTCCGCCCCCCTAATTTTTTCCTTCCGGTACGCCCATGACAACAGCTAGGTAAGATTGGAAGGCATACATTTATTTCTTAGGCAGCCTTCTGCCTTGATCTGTTCCCCCATTTTTTTCCGTCCGATTAAGAAAGAATTCGAAAAGAATAAAAAACGTGCAGTCATAAATCTTATTCCTTGCATTCAAAGGTGCAGAATTTGATCAATAAAAAATTCTTTCCCTGAAATATCGCGAGTTCTGTAAGCCCAGCCACGAGACCTGGAGTTGAGCCCCAAAACCTGAAGACTATATACCATTATATAGTAAACTGTGAGACTTGGCGGCTCTGTTTCTTCTCGAATAAATAATTTCTTCAAAATACGACAATTTTACTCGTTGCGTTGTTTATATACTGGTATTCGAATATATTACCTATATGGCTTTGTTCATTTGACGCACAATTTAATGCAACATATGGATAATTTATTTAAAGTATTTCCTACCTTGCCCTTGCATGGCCAATTCCGAGTCCTGAATTGATTTTGAATAACCAGGAATATCATGATGAATTTCTACTGTAGAAAATCGAAACTGCCGTATATATCAACTTGTATTGGAGCAAAATTCCAAGAAAAAACTAGAATCTTAGTTCGCGGAAAAGGTAATTTTTCCAGGAAAATCGTACATTCTATCCTATTGAAACAGCCCAGAAAGAATCCGATTATATCCGCGGTCTTTTCGGTTAAGACATGCAACGCTTATCATCTTTTTATATAGTAAATGTTCTCAGTTTATTCATATGCTTTTGTATAGCATGTACCATTTTCGACTGTCCAACGAAGTTATTTATTAATTTGTGATTCTCATCAATGAAAAGAAATCACGATTGTATGTATATCTGGTACTAAATCATGCTTTACATCATGATTTTCATGACGAATATCCGCCATTTTTGGGTGGCATTCAATTCTCGTTAACCAATGCAGACAATTAAAACAATGTGAAAAGCAATTTTTCAAAATAAACTAACCATTTACAAAACAAATTTACCATCATTCGTCCAAAAAATTATAAAAAGTCGCTGTTATTTGGACTTATCTCGCAGACTTCGGCTGAAAAGCCACCCAAAAACGGCGGCGAGAGAAAGGCTAATTTACGTAAACTCATTTGTTGAAGAATACGCATATGTTCTCATCAAGATGTTTCCGTCATTCGGCGGCCACTTAGCCTGTTGTAAATAGTGCGTCGAGAATTACGTCGATTGAACTTAAAAATCGGCCAAATGAGTAAAGAAAAGCGGGGCGTCTACTAAATTTTCCCGAAGAATGTTTAGAGTAGTTTTTTTGGCCACTCCCAGTCAACACAAATTTTGGGAATTTTTTAGGGGGGAGGGGGGGGGGGCACCAAAGGAAGGTAAATACAATGTTGAGCGAGTAAAAGGGATTTATGAAAGACAAAAAAACAACTAATTATTAAAGGATTGGTCGGTGATAAAAGGCATAAAAATGTATTTTCATTTCCAAAGTATGACTCACTGAAATATTGAAGACTAAAAAGCAATTTTAACCGTCCCATTTCAATACAATAGATCAATCAGAGCCATATATCTTGATCATTCTCCGATATGTCAGGAAGCAAATGGTGTCTCCAAAGAAAGTACATGTGCAGACAACAACTTTAGACGGTGTTTCCACAAACAAAACTATTATAACTTTAGACGTACTGCAGAAACTATCAAACTCATGCATGTCACAGAGGTGGTAAAGGACATGTGCATGCACAGGCGGCCCGATCTCAGAATGATCAGGTGTTGCGGGTTTTTAACGGTTTTTATAAACAAATTTATACATTCTTTTAATTACTCCATGAGCTCATTTAGAGCGGTTGATGTAACATTTTCTGTGGCCTACATTGTGTGTGCTCATCTATATATAATATAACAG